TGGGGTCATTTGACCCCAGTACTCTTTCCTGCCATGGCAGGGGGTCGGACTTGATGATCTGTTTAGGTCCCTTCCGACCCTACTAACTATGAAAGAGCTGAAAGCTGGGTGGGAGAGCCACTGAGAGTGGGCGGGGGGGGGGTGGAGCTGATTTGGAGATTCAGCTGATTTGGCGTCAGCTGAATCTCTGAATCAGATCTGGCTGAGTTGATTTGGAAGAATGATTCAAATAACCAAATTGAATCACTGTCCCCCGAATCGGCCAAATCCGAATCCAAAAAGAATACTAGCCGCTTTGCATAGGCCTGCTAGGAACCACACTTGATCTTAGCCTAAGAGCAACAAGGATACAGAAAGGGCCAGTGAAGAGCCACCAGCAAACTCAAGGAAGCAGGATATGAGCAGAAGCGGAAGCAGGTGTCATACATAAAAACTTTAAGAGAGCATTAGTGGCTTGAATTTTTGTGACCCATTTGACTTGATCTTTAGTTTATTTCTATATTATGTATAAAATCACTTCATTTTAATATAAAATCAGTTTTGTGATAGAAGAAAGCTACATAAAATTAAATGTAAACAAACTCCTCTGCTTACCCTCTATAACTATTTGTATCCCAGACAGCTTTTGCCATCAATAGCTCCTCCTACTTTTGAAGGTTCAATTTTGATTTTGATTTATTCATTCTTAGCAAAGAAATACTAATTGGTCAAGGTAAGGCAGAGCAAGTGGAATAAGGCAACACTAAAAGGGAAAGAAGGTAGAACCAACTGGAGTGTTTGAAGAGGAATTTAGCATAAGCTGGACAAGGTCAGTCAGAACACAAAATACTGCTGACATGAGGAATGTTCCACTTCACATTGACCCTACGTTGGGAGTCTTTTATAGCATTAGTTTTTATTTTCCCACAGCAGTTCTGGAAGGCTCCTGGATTGTGTTTTCACGTACCTGCTGCCTGCAAAACTCCCTCTGGTAAGATTATGGCTACCTGGCTGGGAGAAAACAAGAAGACTGAACAGCTGAAAGTTAGGGGAAAAAATACATAAACAAAGAATACATGATGGGGTTGACAGATGGGATACAAGATTTTTGATGATACCAGAATCAGGTTTCAGTGAGGTTACTCCATGGTTGATGTGGTATCGCCAATATAATACATGGTACTAAGAGTTTTGTATCAGAGTTGCAGGGTTTTTGGTTGTAGCTGTGTTGGTCTAAGGACATAGGCAGGCAAGGTCCTTTGAGTAGATGCGATATCTTTTATTAGACCAACTGGGTAGTTGGAAAAAATTTCTTAGCAAGCTTTCAGGTGCAGTCACCCTTCTTCAGGCATAGGAAGTCTCTGCTATTCAGAGTATTACTCAAGAGTATACTTATATCAGAGCAGTACTCAGAAATCTTATCAGGGTTGGCCTTTAAGAAAGCCAAGAAAAAAAACAAGGCGTTGAATCCCTAGTCTCAAGAGCTGTTTCATCAGACACAGTATTAACAGATACTGATGCAATGCCTTTGACAGGCAATTCCTTAACAACTGTCAAATAGTCTTCATTTATAAAGACACAGTTAGGGTGTCTTTACAGAGCTAGAAAACCCGTCTTTTCAAAACTTCAATTTTCTTTTCAACTACTTCTAGTGTGAAGTGTATGGAATTCCTGTCATAAAATCTGAGCTGGAGAAGGAAGAAATCAGTGTAAGAGGGTGTGCTGGTGCTTGGGCCTGCGTGTGGTTACTGTGTTCTAGCGTATGGATCAGATAGATGAACACAGTGGATTAAAAAAATAAAATAAAATCAGATGGAGAAGCTGTGAAATGAGGCAAAATTTCTTTTCCCTTCCCAGATAGGAAAGAGATTAAGTGCTGATAACGCAGAGGTTTGAGTTGTAGTTTTGTTTAAATAAAGAAAAGAATATGAGGAAATTATAGTTGGGACTTTATTTTGCCTCCATCAAAAAGCCTGGCTTGCATATGAACATAAAGACATCTGCTTTATTTCCTTGTTTTGACTGTTGGTCCCTAAAAATAAAATTTTCATGACAAGTACAGTAAGGAAAGACATAGTCATTGTGGGGGAAGAGTTTTGTACAAAAGGTGACTTACCTCAAACTGAAGTGTGATGAGATCTCAGGACTGCATTTTTCTAATCAAGTAGCCTGCAAACAGTGACCTACATGTTCAGATTGATGCTACCTAACAAGCAAGAATTGTGTAAAATGTACCATTATACTTCCCCTCAACATTTATCCTTAAATTACACATAAACTAAACCCCAGATTTAGACAACTTAGAACACTGAGGTGTTAGCACCGAACATAGATTTAAAATCCTGTCACTCAGACTAATCTCTCGTTTTTGAAGTGTTGTTATAATGAGGAAAGATGACAAAATGTTACTTTCATCTCCTCTCTTAGCTACAAATCAGTTTATTACATGAAAAAGGGTATAAATGCTGATTTCCCAAAGCCCATTTTGGATTTCCACTCCCACTCACTTGTCCAAATTTACACGCTTTCTTATTTAATCCTATGCAGAGACCATAACCCACGTCTTTCTCATCCTGTCAAAGTTGAAACATGGGACACACACGCACAAGCAAAAAAGAGGAGGCAAGGAAGAGGGACGTGGGCTTAATTTCTTCTTCTACTAAATCCTTAAACAAAATCTCTCTGCTTCATAATTCTGCATCCCTGACTTAAATAATTGTG